ACGAACCCTTGTCCTTGGTTAACACCACACTCCAACCAACTGAGCATCGGTCGGCCTTTCTGGTCGGCCTTTCTTAAAGCAAGGCCTCTGTCGTAAATGAGTGGATGTGTAATTTCACTCCACCTCTACTTCCCTGCCAGAGCAAAGTGTGCTTCAAATGCCACTTTCTGCTGCATGAAGCCTTTGCTCCTGCGATGCCAGATGTGATGCCACTTACACCCGCACTCTGGGCACGTGGTGTGTACCCAACAGCACAGATTCCACTGAGCTGGAACCTTGGAAATGATATCCGTGCATTACAGTTACCAGCACAGGGACTGAAGAGGAGGCACAAGGTCGCACACATGGTAGATACAATGGAATTATTGTTAAATCAACAGGTGCACCTCTGAGCAAAGCTGGTCATACACTCCCCCAAGCATGAAAACAGTCATGAGGCCACCTGAATGGCCAACAAGTGAGCCATCTCTGCCTGTAAACTTACTTCCATGTGCCATTTCTGAACATGGGTTGGACACTCCAGGAAGAGCCAAAGATGTTGAAAGACTTGGAGAAGCAGTCGTTGTAGATCAGGCCCGTGTAGATGGAGAAGATGCCCATGAGCAGGATCAGGTAGCGCCCGTGGAAGAAGGTGTTCCAGATCTGGCCTCGGGAGACACAGAGGACGATCGTCAGGAGGCTCTGAACCAGACCCCGGAGGGAAGTGTGTTACAGGCTGTCTCCAGCATCACTAGTGTAGACACCTTACAGAGGGGCCACGTGACCACAGCAGACATCAATAATCCAAACAGGAAGAGCACACACGTGATGATTTTCCTGGACTTATCCAGGTCAATCAGGGAAGTCCTGGGCTGGAATTTGTTATTGTGGAAACAAAAACATATAAGCCCCACAGCCTTTCACTCAGCCTTGTTAGAAAATGAACTAAAGCCTAAGCCGAGGCCTCACCTGCCGAGGGACTTGACAGTGGGTGTCTGTTGTCTGTGGGTGTCTGTTGTCTCCGGGGCTTCCAGGAGACAGGCACTGAGCTGGTCTCATTTGGCTGCTACATTTATGGCAAGTCAAATCTATACTCATTTGGGGTCTTGTCATTATGAAGTTGAGTCTTTCTCACTACATCTGCTAAGAGTAAAGTGTTTTCCCGTAATGTGGGTGATATATGTCAATCACTCCAAGAAGTGCTGACATGTAACTATGAGACTTTGAGTGTTTACCATAGAAAACTACATCTGTTAAGCTGGTCATGGAAAACTCTGTTGGTCACAGGTTGATTCTGCCCACTAACCTTGCTTATGATTAACTTATAATGACATCATCGAACTAGTTCTAATTAATTCAACCTGTAAAAAAAGAGATTGCAGATATTCTTAAAATTCAGAACATAGCTGAAGGCATGTTTCTGCTTTGTAAAATGTATTACCATGAACATAAAGTGATTAACTTAATTAACTGATAAACGGTGAACGAATGTAGACCCTCAGGTTGTCTCGGCCTTCACAGCACTCTGTGAAGGGACCTCGAGGAAGGTGGGGAGACTGTAAGTGTAAAGAATGGGGATATGAAATTCAGGATTTCTCAGGGTTTCCCAGGAACACTGGTCACAGGCTTGTGGGAAAAGGGCTTTGCCACGAACAAATATTCATGATATTTTAAGCAAAAATAAATAAATAAATAAGGGAGGCCACAAACAATATAGACATTATTTGATGCCAATTTTCGAAAATTATATATTTGCATATAAGCACCAAAAAAAATTGGGAAGATATCTAAAAACATTAATGGTGATTTTTCTCTAGGTGGTTAGATTGTTGTATTCTCCTCATTTTTACAATATTGCTTTTATAATCAGAGGGGAAAAAAATCAATGTTAGAAAAAAAATTAAGGAAAAACTCAATGCCTTGTCAAGCCACAGACCAAAGACAAAATGCTGAAAGGAACTGCACCCAACATCCCAAGGAATTCTCCTCGGCCAGGAGTTTCGTGATGAATTTTGTCTTTTTTTACTTTCCATCTTTGCCTTAATTTCATAAAAACGTGTTATTTCTATGGTGAAACCCACACACACATTTTAATATTGTCTGAAGGAAATG